GACGGCCCTACTCGTGATTGGCGGAGGTCTTGGTGTGGGCGGAGACGGCCCTACTCGTGATTGGCGGAGGTCTTGATGTGGACNCTCGTGATTGGCAGAGGTCTTGATGTGAACGGAGACAGCCCTACTCGTGATTGGCAGAGGTCTTGATGTGGACGGAGACAGCCCCACTTGATTAGCAGAGGTCTTGATGAGGGCGGAGACGGCCCCACTCGTGATTGGCAGAGGTCTTGATGTGGGCGGAGACGGCCCCACTCGTGATTGGCAGAGGTCTTGATGTGGGCGGAGACGGCCCCACTTGATTGGCGGAGGTCTTGATGTGGACGGAGACGGCCCTACTCCTGGAGTAGGTTGGTCTAGTTGGGCAGGAAGCAACATATTTTTAAAGATTCGTTTTAGTCATAACTTGAGAAAGGAAGGTGCTAGCTGCACAAAATTTGACTGCTGGACATGTGGAAATTTGGCTCGGTCAAAGCATCCCTAACCAGCCTGTAAAAAGATTTCTAAAAATCAATAAAAAAATGAATATTAGTCACAACTTGAGACAGGAAGAAGCTTGCTGCATGAAATTTTTAAGTCAAATTATGTTTACGTTTTCACAACAATTTTTGTTTGACTCATTGTTCTGTTTTAAACTGTACCTAGTCAGTCAATAAATCATATTTTTTTACTATCATTGTTCACTCTTTTAAGTTGCCCCACAAGACATGTCAATCCAACCAATCACGATTAGGGAAAACTCCGCCCACATCAAAACCTCCACCAATCATGAGTAAGGCCATCTCTGCCCACCGAGTAGGGCCGTCTCCTCCCACAAGGCAACATGTACTGCTGAGACCCCTTCTTGATTTTTGCTGTGGCCCAGTTGTACTGGGAAGTTGGAATTTTCCACTTACGAGTCGTAAATTTAAATTAGAACACTTCCTCTGGTGGGAATTTCCCATCAGAAAGTGGGATAGTACAGAATTCATGACAGCAACTACTCGCCACAATTCATCAGTGAGAAAAAATTTACTTTTACTTTAATAGTATTCCTGTATTGTAGTCAGTCATACATAGTACTTTTCTGTTTATAGGACGTGTTAAAATGCTGTTTCTATGCAGGAAATGCCAGGTAGAGCTCAGTTATTGTTTATTAGCAGTGCTCAGTTGTAGCAACGAGACAAGAAATGTATTGTTTATTTTAAGTTGAACACAAACAACTGAAGTTGATTACAACCATAATGCTCATGTGGCCCTCTGTGAAAATGAGTTGGACATTTTTCTTTCACATACCAGAGAAAATATCTTCATGCATGTTGCTTCAATACAAAATAATTCAAAACATGTTGATTTGTTTTCAAACTATACCCTGCATTAAATCAGTTTTATTAAGAATTGCATTTCTTTATGAGATATTTTGCTAACAGGCAAACCCGATTATTCAGCTACGATCAGACAAACTTTTAGTTCAGTATTTGTAAAATTAGCTGAGTTATAGACAGTTGAGAGAGAGTTTTGTGTTTCCTGACAGGCAGCCATCTTGATTTGGGCTGTCTCCAAACGTTAACCAGTTGCACATATGATGATTATTTTCATTAAAATCCATCCACTGGCTTGTTAAGTGTTTTTTGATAAAGACAAAGAAAAACAGACACCAGCAAAAACTTTGTCGTCCTTTGAATAAAACAGGTTCAGTCTCCACAACAGATGATCTTTATCGTCTCCACGTCTTGCTCCTCTGCAGATTTTGAGCCACTGGTGTCGTTACCTCCTGTCGAGAAGAGGCTGGAGTTGACCTTCAGGACCCACTCGGCGATCCTCTCATTGCTGTAGTACTCTTCATCATCACCGCCGTCCTCCTTCCCTTCTGGACGACCTCCAGACTCCTCAGATTGTGTTTCAGCAGAGTCGTCGGAGCAGAAAGCTCTTTGTCCCTTCTCTTCGCACTGATCTTCGACATTGGGGTGCTGGTCTGCCAGTTCTAGCTGGTCCTCGGCTTCTTTAATCCGTCTGCCGCAGGCTTCTTTTTTGTTTTGTACCACTTTGCTTTGARTGCATTGCTTGAATTCTTGTTTAGTTCTCCCATATTGTGTCCTGAACACATAAAACTGAGTGTTTTCTTTTGTTTTCTCTCCAGCTGGTAGCTTTGTAAAACATCTTGGTTCCTTCAGATGCTGAGGAAGAGCAGCAGGGACTTTACCTTCACTCATCAGCGGTAAAGACACATTTCCTGTTTGACCTGATGACTCTAAAGCGGTCCCTGAACTTCTCACAACGTGTGAAGCTGTATCAAATCTATATCCTTGAAAACTGATGGACGACCTCGTCGCTTTCTTGGTCCGCCAAACGGCGATCTCCCAGACCTGACTCTTCCTTTCGGGATGATTCAGCTCCCATCTCCTGGATCTTCTCATCGTCTTTGAATCAACTTTTTAAAACTTTTGTGTCCAGTATGCGCCAGACAAACTCGTCTCAGATGGATCGTGTCCGTGTTATATTGCCTCAAGCTGAAAGTACAACCCTGGAAGTCACTTGAGCTGTAACTGGACTCCTCAGAGGTCACAGCCGAGAACCTGGCCTCCGTCTGTGCCGTGTGTCAGAAGAACACTCTTGAATCTTTCATGCTGACACTAATGTGTTTTTGGAGAAGTCAGCCTTTAATTTTATGATGCTACTTCATGTCAAATTTAAAATAAAACAATCTGTAGTATTTGGTTCTCATTGTGACTGAAAGTTAGTCTGTCTTATTGGACACATAAGGACTACATTGCAGTAAGAAAGGGACAAAGGCTGTGTCTCAGTTCTCAAAAATTGTAGTCTGAAAACAGCTTTTCTGCTTACCAGATGCACTAGACCATGTCCACCTTCTTCTTTTGGCAAAAAAAAAAAGGCACACTTTGAGGTATCCAGTGAAGTTTGTCCCCAAAACCCCCCAACAATAATGCTTTACAATTTCATCAGTAAATTTTACTATGCCACAGTGTAGAAGCTACGAAATTATTGATGATAAGTGTACGCCCTCTGTAGGACATTCTTGGTAAAATCCAATACCATTTTTTAAGATTTCCCTCTATTCTACCTATTATTATTACCTATTAACACACTATGGTCAGAAAACCCAACAGGACATAAAAGACAAGGTTTAAACATTTGCATATGATGCTCAAAACAATACAACCTATTAAGTCTTGCCAGGCTAATGTAATTTTCTTTACAGTGGGTCCAGGAAAATTGTTAACTTGTACCATGCTTAGAGCGCCAAACATCAATTATCTCATAAGTTTCAGTTATACGTTTTAGAATCTTTCTTGATTGAATGTTATGCTCTAAATGGTTTCTGTCCAAGTCATCAACAGTACAATTAAAATCTCCTCCTAAAATCAGATAATCTATTGAATCACAGCCTGAAATTATATTCTCTAGTTTATCCAAAACAATGCATCGCTCACTAGGAATCGTTGGAACATAAACATTTAACAAAATAAAAGTTATTTTTTCAAATTTTCCAATAAGCTTCAGCAACCTCCCTGGAACAGTTTCTTCCATTTCAAAGGATGCTGGAAGAAAATTCTTTGAAAACAGAATTGCCACTCCTGCACCCATTGAATTTTTGTGACTCATAATGATATTCCCATCCCATTCTTTCTTCCAATCAATTTCATTGTCAAAACTACTATGAGTTACATGAGCAAAGGTAATATTGATACATTTAGTTTTTAAAAGTTCAAAAAAGTAGCTATTTTCTTTACATCTCTTGCCCATTTAGATTTAAAGAAGAAAACTTTAGACTACTCATAAACACCAAAAGAATCAAACACTGAAGCAATGCAGCAACAAAACTGCTGTCTACTACTTTTTTGATACATCATTTGTTGTAGTTCTTAGTTTCTGCATCAGTTTTCAAAGACGAAAGATTTCTGTGTCTTTAAGATCTTCTGGAC